TATTATAAATATGTACTTATTTCAGTGAAAAAAATCATTAAAAAAATATTACATGTAATATATTTATGTTTCACTTTAATATTTTAATTTAAAAAATTAAGTTTGAATAACTTTAAAAATAAATAAGAAACGATGTAAGCTATTTTTTCACACATTCAGTCTATCAGTTTAATTTCTAAATTTTAATTTTTTCCTTCACATTTCACGTTTAAGAATTTGGCCAAGTGTGTTTGCCATCTCTATTTTTTAGCCATTTCCGTCTCACTTTCTCTCTCTGCCCATGTGTTTGTGTAAGTGGGTGTTTGCCAGTGTGAGTTTATGCATGTTTAATGAACATGAATCCACGAGCCACCAGGGCAGCCCTGTAATCGCATTTCAATATGCTGCACCGCCAGTTTAAACTAAAAAAAAATACAAGAAGTGGGTTGAGCACCGAGTTCACTACCCAAAAAAAAGGAAAAAGCGAGGAGGAGGGGGGGAAATAAAAAAATAGAGAGAAGGAAAAAACTCAAAGCCGGTTACCGTGTCTTCCTTTCTCCAGTTGCAAACGGCAATTTAGTTTGCAGGGCAAACTTTTCATAGCCGCTCTGACCCGTAAACGAGGTCAGCGCAAAAAAACATTTTGAAAAATTCATATGCAAACGTATTTTCAGTTGCACCGTTGCACTGGCAACACACAGGTGCCAATGGCAGCACCACCAGGATTTGAATCGGAATCAGGAGCAGTATCCCTGCCCAGTAACAGTAGCCGACTTGCAGAGGCAGCGGGAAAAGGGGGAGAGCGGGAAAAGCGGTCGAGGAAAAGGAAAACTTTTTAATGGCCAGCACACACACACACACACCCGTGCCCCGTGCACACTTAATAGCACTCTTGCAGGCCAGTGTAATTCTTAGTCGCCCATGGGGCTCAAAGTCTTTCGCAGTTTTGGCGTAAAGTGAAACGTTTTGCTTTTTATTAGTTGGTAAACATAAAATATAATGAAAAAGAAGTTGCTTTTTACACTAAATTAAATGTGAATAAACATGTCTTTTGGGGCAAACCAAATGAACTTTTTGCCTGGTCGGCGAGTTTGTTTAATTAATTTTCCCACACTTCTAGGCAAGTCTGTCATCGAGGGAGGTTTCATAAAGAAAAAGTATACTTTATTATAATTGTAAATATTTCAACATTAATAAATGTGCTTTAAAATATCAGCTCTACTTTACCAAACTCATTTTGCTTTTTTCTTACACAATAAATTTGGTCGGCAGATTGTAATCGGCATGTAATCAACTTGACTTTAGCATTTCCACTTTTTAATCACTATGCCGGTGCTAATTGCTTGCCCAAAAAACCAAAAGCGGAAACTCTTCAGCCTAACATAAAGTGAAACATTTTCCGCCTTTCCGTTAGGGTTTTTTTTTATTTTTTTCGGGGGAATAAGACTTAACACGGGCCACGGGTGTAATTGTTGGACGAGGTCTGTAACCCACGGGCTCTATGAGTAATTAGGGTCGGGGATTAGTTCAGTCGCCTTCGCTTCAATAAATTTTGGCCGTTGGCCGCCCAAAGGCAAAGTGAACCGGGCTCCCGGCGATGCTTATTTAAGGCTCAGCCCGGGTCACAAGGTGTTCCGCCTTAAAATGGCCTAAAAACGTGGGAATGCAAAGGGAAAGTACTGAAAAAAATGTATTAGAAAATAATAACATAAAATGTAATAAAAATACAATCCAGGATGGCAGTTATTTTCTATTTAAAATATTTAAACAAAATAAAAATAATAAGAATTCATAATTTGAGGAAAGAAATGGGAATTTAAACAAACGAAATTAAAGAATTTTTATAAATAATATATATATTATTTTAAAAATTTAGAAAATAGAATAATTAAGGAAAAAATATTTTTAGGTACAAAAAATCTTTTCAAAATATAAAGAAGTCCCTTAGATAATTTATTTTAATCTTCTATATATCATTTGTTTTATTTGTTAGGGGAACTAAAGAAAGTAAGTCTGAAAAGAACCTCAAGAAAATTCAAAATGCAATTAAAAAACTTTACCTAAGAGTTAAAAACTTTGATCCTCGGATTTTTGTAGAATGCAGGATGAGTGCAGGGAAGTGCCCTCTCACATTATGCCATCTCGTGTCCGTTGACGGTGATGTATGTACGTGTTTCGGCTTTGCTTCCGTGATAATTTTCAAACTTTTTGCACCAATTATGTGCACGGCAGCGCGATATTCTCTTAGCCATCTCGGCGTTAGTGAGCCCATCTGTGTATAAAAGTATGTGTGTGTGGGTGTTGGCCTTTTTGTGCCTGTAGTTTATGCTCATTACGTGAGTGCTGAGCGCAGCAGACTCACAAATTGTTGTACAAGAAATTGCCGCCGCTGGCGTTACACGAAAATACATACAAAAACAGAGGCATGTGCCTCAAACGCCAAAAGGACCTCCGGTATATATGGCTATATATAGATTTCTTGCCTGGATGCAAAATCCTCGAATTTAATTTCCACGTAAATTCCTGGCCATCGAAAATGAAACGTGTCCACGGGGCGTATACGCTTTATATAGTTGACCAATTTACAAAGGAGACGCTTGCCCACTTAAACTATGAACGATTGAAGGCTGCTATTTAAATAAATACCGTAAGTGGCAAACGGAAATCATTAAATGCTCGGCCGTGTTTAATTAAATTCAGGTTAAGAGGAAATCGTGCTCACGGGGCGTATGCGCGTTATTTAATTGACCGATTTGTAGCTCTTAAGCTAGGAGTAATTTAAGTCTTAATTAAGAGTATTTTCGTTATAAGAACACCGAAGTATTTGCAAATATTTAAGCATTAAGATTGAAGCTTCCCCGGGCGTATGCGCAATATTTATTTAACAAATTCTACTCTCTTAAGTGCAATAGACCATTTTATAGCCACTTATTTATGAACCCAGAAAAAGCAATTAAACTGTAAGCAGTTGATTAAATTCAAATATATTTGGCACACAATTTAAGGCGTGTCCCCGGGGCGTATGAGCGTTATTTAAATGGCCAAGCTGTGAGCAATTTAAATCACAATTTTAAGTGCCCGATTGAAACGATTTAATCATCTTTACTGTTAGCCTAATCTAGCAATATTTATTCCACGTTTCGTATTCAAAAATTTCCCTTTTTTGCAGCTCATAAATCAAGGCTTTAATCTGTTTTTGAAGACTTAAGAACTTAATCCTCAAAAAACCAATTCCAACTAAAATGTGGGCTGCCGGGTCTGCCACGCCCACTGAATAAGTAATTTAACACGGCAAACGCACGGCTTTAGTTTGCCACACAGTTTTCCCTTTTGTTTGGACCGCTTCAGGGGCAAACAGAAATAATATAGAAGAATATAAAAGAATATCAACTGCAGCTTTAAAGGCGTATAAACTTCTGGGCAGGCCTCCCACCATCAAGCTGTCTATTTTGGCAAAGGCGAAAAGTGGAAGAAGAATGGGACTTTTTATTTTACTCAAGTGCCGTGTCGTTAGTTTCAACCTGCACTGAAAGAAAAATATATATATTTTTGTATTTTAAGTATTTAAAAACTTAAACATAAAATTATCTCGATATTAAGTTATTTAATTATTTAGACTTACATTATTTTAATCACAAATGAGGTAAAAAATCTGAAAAAACAAACTAATTTTTGACTAATTTATTTTACATTTTAATAAGAGAAATTTTTGTCCTTAGACAAGTTTACATAATTTAAAGACTGGGATTTTAAATTTAAAGCTAAAATATTTTTATATTATAATTAATAAAAAAGCATTAAAATTATTTTTAAAAATGCATTTTAATCTATAAATTTTGCTTAAACTTTCACTTTTTCCTCTCAGTGAAAGATCATCTGAAAAAGACAAATTAAACGAAAATAAGTTTTCTTTGCTCTAAAAACTTCAGAATAGAACATTCGAATTTGCTTAAAATTTTAGCATATTTACAAAAATAATTGGGCAATGCTCTTTGTTGATACTCGAGTTGGTTTTAGTTTTAGAGAAAATGTTCAGTATTTTCGTTCGAGTGTGAGAAAAGAAGGCAGGGCAAAGTGCATAAACTCTCGAGTGAAACTGCCGCCTGTTTTGGCCGGAAAGTTTCCGCTGCATTTTCATTGGAAATCCGAACGAAAATTCAAACTCGAACCCAAGCCCAAAAACCGGGGCTAAATGTCTCGTCGAGCTGATGCTGCTGCTGAAGCCGAGCTGCTCGAGCTGAGGATACATTTTGTTTGTTTACTTTGAAATTGTAAATGGATTAGCCGCACTCCGAGGCGCGCCAAGCCTGACAAATTGAATTTGTTAGACTCGAGAGAAGTTTTTGGCAAACTTTTGCGTGCATGGTTGGATATTGGACGTGGCCGGAGTGCTGGAGTGCCGGAGTGCTGCCAGCCATTGCCCATAAACCCCGAAACAAAACTTTGCCCTGCCGTCGAGCGGGAGTGTTGCGAAATAAATTGCCATGCCGTAGGTGACGGCCCGAGCCAAAGGGTTTTCATCCCCCTCCCACTGCCCCATTGCCAAAACTATTTCCCCCATTTTCAAATCATCAATAAGGTGATACTTTAAAAGCGAATCGCCAGAAACAAATATCGGATTAACCTTAAACTTGCAAGCTATCGAAAGTGAACAAATGACTGGCAACCAAGGCAAGATGGGTATGTTGAAAGCTGGTTCTCGGAATTTCCTTCGGGAGGGATTTTCTTGATGCCAAACTATTCCCGGCTGATAGTCATCAATAAGGCAATAAATGAAGCCTCATCGAAAGCAAACAAGATATCGCACTTCAAAGTTTAACAAGCTTAAGGTTTAGTATCTCGCATAACAATTTAAGAATTTAAAAAATGAGAATAAAAAATCACAAAAACATGTAGTGCTAGAAAACATTATAGATTAAGATAGAACAAACTCAGAAAATAACAATATTTTAGAAATTTCTTGTCAAAAACATAAGCCTGTTGGTTTAAGTCTAAGAAAATAAACTTCTAACATGCACGTACACATCAGCTTATTTTTATTTGTACCTGCATTGTCATAATCGCATTTAGAAGTCAGATTCAGTTTTATAGTTATGTCGATTATAACTCAACAGATGTGTAGTCGCCAGACAATGTGCGACACGTTAAAATACATCTCACGGCATTGCAGGTGTGTAGCGCTAAAACAGCTATTGAAAAAACAAATATAAAGGTGTTGATTATTAAAATAAAAAAAAAGCTATTTACCAATTAAAAGAATAATAACGTAGAGCTTCATGTCGGTGATCACCGCTAGAAAATTCGGTATGAACTAAAAGGTTTGACGCAGCGAGTAGTCTCTTAAATATGGGAAAATTTAAATTTAGTTTCATCACATATTATATTTTTCATTTCCATGCAAATGGGCATCATTGCAGCGGAATATTTTATTCATTAAAAAGTGAATTTATTTAGTTTACCGAGCAAACAATCTTTTGCTGCTTTGAGAAGGAAAATTGTATCTGTGCAATTTCGTAATTTAGTAAAAAAACTTTCAAAAAAAATAAAGGAAAACAAATTACTGGTATTTTGGTCTTACTCATTAATAAATTATCTACTTTTCATTCAAAGTTTTATACTTTTTTGTTCTACTTTCAAAATGAAATATAATCACTTAACTAACATGTTTAAAATGTGTATAAGTGCATAATGTTTACACTCAGGAAAAAAAATTTCCTTAATTTAAGTCCATTGACCTTGATTTAAGGAATAATGGCTTTAAAATGGCTAAATAAGGCTATACATGGACTTAAAAATTTTTATCCCATATACATTTTAAGTCTACATGGACTAAAAATGGACCTAAGTCCATGTAACAGTCCATATGGCCTTAAGTCCAAAATTAGTCCATGTAGACTTAAAATGTATATGGGATGAAAACTTTTAAGTCCATGAATAGCCTTATTTAGCCATTTTTAGTCCATCGTTCCTTAATTTAAGGAACGTGGACTTAAATCAAGGTAATTTTTTTTTCTGGGTGTACTACTGAAATAAGTAGCAGACTTGTCAGAATCCAAAAATCCTCAAAGTCCTGCCTGTGGCAGAAAACTAAAGTACAATGAATTTTATCCCGTATTAGCCGAATTGAATTGTGCAACTTCAACTGTTGCTGCTGGTGTAGCGCTTGTAGTTAGCTAAATGTAAAATAGGGTTAGCGCCATCTAGGAGTCGCTCGGCGGTATGGGGTGTGGCAAAAGAAAAGCGGCAAGGAGAGCAACAGACCTTTCTGTCAACTTTCCCTTTCTCTATCTAATCTACCCGGCTAGAGGTTACCGCCATAATTGTGGCGTCTGAATCTGTCTGTTCTAATCGTGGCGTCAGAGGTACAAGTTGTGCTGGACAAAAGTTAAAATCATACAGTCTAAATTACATTTTTTTTGTGCGGAAGTAATCCCCGGCAGCTTGGCGAACTGAGAAACGCAAAAGCGTTAAAATATCCAGCGCAGCGCTAAATCCTAGCTGGTGAGTTTCCAAAGCGTAGGGTTTGGGTGAAGTATAATTTAGAACGGAATTTATTTCATTAGGCTTGGCGCTAAAAAAAAATCACAATTATCAATTGGGAAATAGGCGCACCAAAATTGAGTGCATATTGGCCCGAAGAAAGACGAAGGCTTGCAACAACAAGAAATCTCCAAATCGCTGCCCCTGCTTGAGTTTTTCTGGATTCGCGCAGTTGTCGCGCAGCCGCCTTCGAGGGCGAGTTATTTTACGCCGGGAAGAGGATGACCGAAAGTCGCTAAACTTTCTTCGGGAAAATTCAGTTTTAGTGGGAAAAATAGAGGAAAAATTTCCAATCATGAGTGCCCCGACCGAGTGACGTGAAAAATTGTCAAAGCCCAATTTAGATCCCCCACAGCCAACAAATAAATGGCGCACATATAGTTGTTGAAATGTCGGAACGAATCCGAGTGCCCAATGATAAAAAAATATAAAAAAAATCAGGCAGCAGAAAATTTTTAGTTAAGTCTTAATTTAAAAAAAAAAAAAAAAAAAGGAAAAAATATATTATTTTAGTTGCTTAACCTAATTTAATTATATTATATCCATGCGGTGAGAAAAAAAAACGAAACCCGATCAAAGTGCGAAAATGATGATAGAAAGGCAAAGGCCGATTTGAGTGGTTTTAAAAATTTTGATTTCTGCCCGGCGACTCAATCGCATTTTTTTGTATGATTTTTTTATCTTAAATGTATTTGAAAAAAAAAAAATAATAAAATCCCGTGGTATGTTTGTGCAAAAAAAAAAAGAATAGTTTTTGAAGTTTCAGGTTCATCCCGAGAAAACGCTTTCGTCGAGAAGGATCCCAGCAGAAATTATGGTGAGCGAACAAAAGTTCCGTATTAATATAAACCATGACATATGTTAAAATATGCGATACTGAGAATTTATACAATTTTTTTCCTTAAAGTAAAATTAACCAAAAAAATCCCACGGGAAGATGAAAGCCGAAAATAAGAAATAAAGAAAACAAATGAGCGGTGGAAAATCAAAAAAAATATAATTCAAATAATTTGCGTTTTGCTGCTCAAATCATGGCTATGTGTTTACACTTGGTTGCCAAAATAATCTGATTCGCTTTCTAAATTTTGTCCTTTTTATTTTTGATATCCAAGATATTTAAATCCGATCTCATCGCATAAAGGCCCGCATGAATATTTAACCTTTTATATAAACAATATTTTTATTCCATATTTTTATCGCAATTTTATTTATATATATTTTTATATTGTCCCATTTATTATATTTTTACTGTTCTCTAATTTATTATGATGTATAGCTGTCCCCATGAATTGCTCGTATTTGTCTTTTAGTTTTTAAATAAAATATTATAATGTTTTAAAATCCCCAATTTTTGACTCGGCATAAATGACCCCCTGACACCCCTGAACACCAAGGGACCGCTTCATAGAATATGGGTTTTTTTAATAAGGAAAGAAACGGTCAAAGGAAGGGAGGGCGAAGTAAAATCTCCACAACATCTGAGGTTTTAAAGTGTTCACAAAATAGGCGAAGTGCAATAGACACCCCCTAGTCATAGATTTCCGTATTGTCTGATTAAAAATATGTAGTATCTCGTCCCTTTTTCATAGCTTGTCCTGTCACGCGAATATTGTTTAGAATTAATAATGAAAATAGGCCAGTCAAGAGAAGTAGCTAAAACCTACACCAATGTCGACGAGCCAAGCCGGAAGATAATTTCGCGTGAGCTCTTCTCTTAGTCAACATCTTGGCCTGAGAATTATGAATGTTCGTTACATTTATAATTATATCAAATTATCATTATTATTTTATGGCGCCCAACTTCATGGCCACGTTTTTACGTTGCTCACGAGATACAATTCTATATTTTAGCCAGATTATAAATATTTGATTTTACTTAGTCAAAAAATCGAGCAAATAATTCTCGTATTGCTATTGGAGACTTTCAGATATTTTCACTCAATTCAGCTTCGAGCCTCGCTTAGAATTCCACTCAAACGCTTCGGAAACGAAGAGACAGAGTCCAGAGAGATGAGTCATTCGTCCACGCTTGACCAAAAATTTTAGGAAGAGGAAGAAGGCCCCACTAGTATACCCTTACATTTTTTAAGTCAATAGGTTTGGTTATTAAACGCTTAGGAACTACAGGTTTTGAGATTTGTAGCTATAATTTCGCTACCTGACCACGGTTAATTAACCAAAATTCAAAGTTTAAATTTTACAGGAGTAACCTAATTACTTATCAGACAGATCAGCTTGCCATAATTCGCATTGGATATGCAGTGGATTTTATTTACATAAAGATTCGCTGACCACGATGAAAGGCATAGCTAACATGCCCCGCAATTGTAAAGTGCGAAGCAGACGGCTCGGATTATAGGCATTGTCGCGAAAGTCGTACGATCGGCTAGCCGCTGTCTGCGAGTGGCGCTTATTGTTGTTGTTGCAGTTTTTGGCAAAGCGATAAGCGCAATGCACATGCAATTGCATTTTATGTTTTTCTCTATGCACTTGTCTTATTTTCGTTAGGTTTGTCAGAGGGGAAATATTTATGTCCGACGTCAAATTATTTTATGATATTCATTTCTTTTCTTTACGAATTAATTTCATTTTAATTATTCTAATTTTTACTTTATTTTTTTTAAATTTTATTATATTATTATTATATGTTCATATTTTTTTGCTGTCAATCAATATTTGATTTTTCTCTGTGTATTCGAGCAGTTCGATTAGATTTTGGTTTGAGTTCGAGGCTTGAGTAATTTTGTACAGAGATTTGGACAGCTGATTGTTCAGCGGAGGTCATCGACCTCGCAAACAAAAGGAGATAAGGAGACCAATATTTCTGGTTTATGTAACGTGTTGTAATTTCGCACTCGTTTTATGCAATTTTCTCGTTCTATATATCTCGTATTTATATGTTATTTTGAGTTTAGTTTTCACATTAGAATTTCTTTTATATATTAGCTTATATTTTTTTATAATTAGACTAGGATTTGTTTTTTTATCTATTCAATATGGCTGATGGCGAAGATGCCGAAACCCGCCAGTGTTCGCTGTGCGAGTGTTATTTAGACTCCGCCAAGACATATAAAACTAAATGTAAGCATGAGTTTCATCAATCTTGTATCGCAAATTATTCCAAGACCCACACTACATGTCCCATTTGCCAAACTGTCTGTTTTGAGAAACCAGCAACTCCTTCTCAAAATACACGACAGCAGAAGACTCAGGTGCTAGCTGCGAGTGGCAATACGCCAATAGGAGCTCGAGGTTCAGCAGGGTTGGGAACTTCTCAAACAGCATTAATTGAGAACACAGTCAAAAGCGCTATACAAGGCATGCAAAATGAATTACTAACCCTGTTGTCAGATAAAATGGCCCAGCTTATAGAAACCAACCTCGCGGCTCGCTTTCAGCCAACGGGTATAAATATCTCTGAGCATGAAGAAGAGGTAAATGTGGAGCGACAAATGTCAGTGGATCACACGGGTGTTCGAGCAGGCTCGGGACGAGGAACTCCTAGAAGCTTCACATCCGATCTAAGCCAGAGGCCGGATAAGGTAGGCCACATCATAAATAGCTGGAAATTGCGTTTTAGTGGTAGTTCGGATGGCATTAGCGTAGATAACTTTATATATCGGGTTCAGGCTCTCACAGAACAGACTCTGGAGGGGAACTACTCGATCCTTAGTAGCAATGCGAATCTCTTGTTTGAAGGAAAGGCTAGGGAATTTTATTGGAGGTGCCATAGGAGAA